TAATCGTGTTGAGAAATAACGTGTTTTATTAAGCTTTGTACAGAACATTTTGGTGCCTCCTGTGAGGACAAATTGCATTAAATTTAAAGTTATTAAGTTTTCGGTAATGGCGGAATTAAGGTTGCGTGCGTCGGCTATAAAAGCAATTAAACGCATATATGAACGAGTGCAAACGAGTAAACTTGGCTCCTATGACGAATTCCAATTAGAGCAAGAATTGAAATCGGTTTCAAGCCACTTTGCGCGATTTGTGGCTAACCATGAGCTATTGGTGGCCAGTGCGGAAAAGGGCGAGGTTGAGGCTCATGAAACGCTCTGGGAAGAAGTGGAAGATATATACAACGACACTTGTTGCATTCTCAACCGCGCGATTACAGGTGCGAAGCCAAACGTACAAGCCGGAAGGCAGCATTCGCATGAATGTGAGTTTAGGTTGGAGCCACTCGCCATTCCAACGTTCGACGGTACGATGCAAACCTGGTTAGCATTTAAGGACGCATTTGAATTACTCGTGCACAACACCGAGTATCCTGAGGCCTACAAATTGGGGAAGTTGCGACAGGCAGTTAGCTCACATGCAGTGCCACTCGTGGGAAGTGTATACTCGGGCGGCTATGGCGAATTATGGAGTGCTCTGAAGGAGCGCTTTGACAATAAGAAGCAGTTAGCCGAAACACATGTGTCCCGTCTTCTTAACATTAAGCCATCGTCAGAGGACTCATCAGAATCATTATTGGCCATCGTCGATACAGTGCAGGAGTCACTGCGTTCGTTACGGGTGATGGGGCTGCCAGTCGTAGAGTGGGATGCTATGCTTGTTCCCATAATAGTTTCTAAGCTTCCAACTGTCACTCAGCGTGAATGGAACATGAGTTGTTCGCCTACCGAAATTCCGAAGTTAGATGAGCTACTGTCATTTTTGAGCCAACGCGCCCACAGCCTCTCCACAGCCATTGTCACGTGGTCCAGCAGGACCGACGCTACATCTCGAGGGCAACAGCGCACTAGTTCACAACGTACTGTAAAATCCCACGTCGCAGCTGCAGAAGAAGGAAAATGCGCATACTGTCAAGGACCGCATCGCACTACAAAGTGCACCCGTTTTCTTGCAATGAACCACGAAGAACGTGTAAATGCCCTTAAAGCCGCTAGGCTTTGTTTCAATTGCCTAAAATTGGGACATTCAGCTAAGCAGTGCCCTTCGGGTCTTTGCCGACATTGCAATCGGAAGCACAACTCATTGCTTTGTCGGGAAACTTTATCTACGAACGCAGGAGGGCTGACCGCGACAACCACTCAACCGGTTCCCATGAACAAGGATCAGTCCATCTGACTAGAAGCTTCGGCGGTTACCTGCCATACCAATGCGCATCACACAGTTTTATTAGCGACAGCACGCGTTTATGCATACGGTGACCCAACGACTCGACGCATGGCGCGCGTGCTCTGTGACCCGGGATCGCAGGTCAGTTTTGTTACAGATAAGTTAGCTAATTCTTTATCTCTTCGTAGACGTAAATGTGATATCCCTGTCCAAGGAATTTGTGCCCATTCTTCCGCTCGCGCTCGTGGTAGCGTCTCGCTCACATTAGAATCTGCCCATACTAGTTTTACGCTGAAGATAACTGCGCTTGTCATTCCGTCAATTACTACGGTCATCCCCGCAACGTATATTGACATGACACAGTGGAAGCACTTGTCCAGCATACAATTAGCGGATGCACAATTCGGCGTTCCCGGTAATATCGACGTGCTAATTGGTGCTGACGTATGGGGTCAAGTTGTCGAAACTGACTTCAAATTTGGCGGTCCTTGTGATCCGCACGCTCAACGCACTGCTTTCGGGTGGGTCATATTTGGCCCAGTTTCTGCAGCACAACCTTCAACGTTGCCAACTCTCGCATTAAGTACGCAGCTATGCGACGAGGACATACACTTGGAGGAACTGCTCCGAAGTTTTTGGAAGTTAGAGGAAGTGCCCTCCCTAGAATATGATGGAGATGCCGAATGCGAACGAATTTTTTGTAACACCCACTCTCGCACACCTGACGGACGCTACGTTGTATGCATACCATTTCGTCCTGATGCGCCGGCTTTGGGAGATTCTTATACTCATGCATTACGACAGTTTTACCTTCTTGAGAGGCGACTGGCAGCAAATAGTGAACTCCGGGAGAAATACATTGCTTTTATGCGCGAATATGCAGACCTAGGCCATATGGAGCGCGCATACTCATTGAACGATAATGAAACGGGCTTTTATATCCCGCATCATGCAGTTTTGGGGAAGTTTCGCGTTGTGTTCAATGCCTCGGCGAGAACTACAACCGGCGTCTCCCTGAACGAAGTTCAGCTGGTAGGAACGACAATACAAGATCCGCTACTTAACATAATATTTCGCTTTCGCCGCTTTCGCATCGCATTGTCTGCCGATGTTGAGAAGATGTTTCGACAGGTACTTGTTAAACCCGAGCATAGAGATTTTCAGCGCATTATTTGGAGAGAGTCCCCAACCGATGACATCACTATATACCGCCTTACAACGGTGACTTATGGTATGGCTAGCAGTCCCTACAACGCGGTCCGCGCACTCAACCAATGCGCATACGACAACTACAAAGTGGTCGCTGATAGTCAACAATCGATAGCGGCACGCGATGCGATCTTGTCGTCTTTTTATGTCGACGATTTTCTTACCAGCTGAGACACTGAAGAAAATGCAACTGAACTTGCATTCAACGTGACTTCCATATTGTCTGAAGGCCACTTCCATTTACGTAAATGGAATTCCAATAGTGGTGAAGTATTAGCACGCTTGATTGGCAACCGTTCTCCTAACGTAGAGATGACCATCGAATCACCAACAGCAACTGTACTTGGGCTTCGATGGGATGCAGCAGCAGATGAGCTATTTTTCAAGGTAGATCTGAAAGAGAGCTTAGGCTTCCTAACGAAGCGACGGGTACTAAGTGCCGTCGCAAAATTATTCGACCCTACCGGCATACTGGCACCAGTTGTTATTACTGGAAAAATATTCATACAAAGGTTGTGGGCGGCTGGCTTGTCGTGGGACGAACCACTGCCAGATGAACTTCAAACCACCTGGGTAGCCTTTTACAGCGAACTCGACGTAATAAACAAAATCCGGATTCCGCGATGGCTAGGTATGGCTGAAGGAAGAGCTACTACCCTGCTAGGATTTTGCGATGCCAGTACGCTCGCGTATGCAGCTGTAATATATATTAGAGCCACAGATGCGGAAGGTCATTCAGCTGTATCACTGCTTACGGCTCGTACCAAGGTGGCGCCCCTTAAAGGAGCAACGATCCCGCGTCTGGAGCTTTGTGCCGCACATTTGCTCGCTGTTACCCTCGAAAACGTACGTATTTCCTTGAGATTAACAGATACTCCTTATTACCTCTGGTCTGATTCTCGGATTGTGTTGTGTTGGCTACGCAAGCCGCCCACTACTCTAAAGCCGTTTGTGTCGAACCGGGTGCATCAAATACATGAGTTAACCTCACCAAACTGTTGGCATTATGTAAGATCAGCTCAGAATCCGGCAGATTGCGCCAGTAGAGGTATTCGGGCATCGCAGCTGCTGGATCATCCACTGTGGTGGCAGGGCCCAGGATGGATTATGGATAAGCATACACCCAACTTCTCTGTGATTGAATTAAACGACGAGGAGCACAATATTCTGCAAAGCGAACAAAGAGTTTCCTCCTTCGTAGCGACAACAACCCATCAGCCAGCTCTCACTACTCGTCGACGTGATGGCCAGATGATTCCGTTGAGTGAGCGCTTCAGTTCACTTCTGTCACTCGTGCGTACGGCAGCACTTCTTCTACGTTGGCTTCCAACACGGCGGCATTTGCGTATATTGGTAGTCAGCCCAACAGAAATCGACAACGCTCTTAATATACTGATTGAAATGAGCAACACGAGAACTTTGCAGTTGATTTGGCCCAAATCCGAAAAGGAACTGGCGTATCTAGTTCCAGCAAGCTAAAGTCATTGAATCCATACATGGATGACACAGGCGTTCTGCGCGTCGGAGGCCGCATCAGTAAGGCTGATCTGCCAGAAGATAGGCGTTTCCCCATAATCTTACCTAAACACGGTAGACTAGTCGAGCTGATAATCAGACATGCACATGAAACAACGCTTCATGGTGGACCGCAACTGGTACTCCAAACTCTACGCTCGCGTTATTGGATATTGAATGGTAGACAAGCCGTTCGAAGTTACGGACAGAAGTGTGTTATCTGCCGCCGACACCGTGGCGTGACTCTTTCGCAGCAAATGGCATCATTACCAAGACAACGTATCAGTACTTCACGGGCGTTTGTGTCTTCAGGGGTCGACTATTGCGGTCCGTTTACGGTGCGCGTTGGCGCCAAACGGTCACGCACCAAGGTAAAGACATATTTAGCCATTTTTGTTTGCATGGCAACCAAGGCGGTGCATATTGAGGTTGTCGATGACCTCTCTTCGCAAGCTTTCCTGGATGCATTTACGAGATTCGTCAGCCGGCGAGGCCCTTGCCGCGATCTTTTTTAGCGATAACGGAACTGCGTTTATCGGAGCGAACCGCCTCCTTCTAGAAGACTTGGCAGCATGGCACAGTGAAGGTACTCAACAATCCTTAGCTAATAAAGGGACCTGTTGGCACTTCATCGCCCCGGGCGCTCCTCACCAAGGTGGGCTATGGGAGGCCGCAGTGAAGTCTGCCAAATATCACTTAGTCCGCCTCGTTGGGACACAGGTACTATGGTACAACCAGCTTCAAACTTTGGCAGCCCGCATCGAGGCATGTTTAAATTCCCGGCCGATCACACCGTTATATGATGACCCCAACGACAAATTGGCTTTGACACCGGGCGATTTCCTGATTGGTGCACCACTGATCGCCGTTCCTGAGGCTACGGTTACTGCAATTCCTTCCAACCGTATTAAGCAATGGCTTTGGGTGCGTCATGTACACCAAAAATTTTGGCAACGTTGGAGCGAGGAGTATTTATCTACATTGCAAACTCGCAACAAATGGCAGAAACCTACAAGAGATGTGCGGAGAGGTGACGTTGTTCTCGTACGAAACGAAAATCTTGCTCCTACCCATTGGCGTTTAGGACGCATAACTGAGATTCATCCGGGCAGCGATGGATTAACGCGCAATGTTACGCTTCGGACGGCGAGCGGCACCATGACCCGGGCAGTACAAAAACTATGTCGGCTTCTTGATAGCGAACATTTCGAGTCCACGGCCTCGACCGGGCAGGATGTGCAGAATTCGACTGATCTGGCCACCACTTAAATGCTCGCGGTAA